ATTCTTCTACGATGAACATAAATAATGAAGCATATGAGATTTGAAAATCAAGGGGGGAAAATAAAAAATAAAAAAGAGTAACAATAAATAAGGGCAGAAAGGATTTCTAAAGAGGAAAAGCAAAGACCGACCATCCATTGAATTCGCAAACATGCAGTCTGCCTACATGTGAAAACCACCCATCAATCATCTCAATTCGCTGTTAAACAAATGCATTATTTTCATTTATAAAACAATAATCATAGCAGCAATAATTATCACTGTAGTTGTCAGTCACATTGCATGTGAAAGGAAATAAATAAAGCCCTAAGTACTAATTTCAAAATGCCAAGATTAACTCGTCTCGTAGGGGATGCACCGTTGCATCGGGTTTCTCTGCATTGTGACAATTTATATCAAATGATGTTACTTAAAGGGTGCATCATAGAGTACCAACTTTGGTCCAAAGGATGCATGTAACACATAAAAACAACTTACCCTTAATTTGGATATTCTACTGACATAAGATTCCATTCTTTATGGGGTCTCAGTACTCAAAGGTAATAAATATCTACTTTCAGTTTTGTTCGGTACCTTCAAAGTAACCCTTTATATTATTCTTAATAATGGTTTCTTAGTTAAGATATTGATTAGTGCTGTTGTAACCAATGCACAGAGACACTAATTTAAAACGAATTGTGTTCGGATAACTTACTTGATTGAAAAATTCAAATTAATCAAATGAAACTGCATTGGGAAGCTAACAATGTATAGTATTGAGTAAATGGAGATATATTTTGTTTACCTTAATCATTAATCTATATTTTAAAAGAAATTAATTCTCGATCATCGGTCGAAAGGTATATATCTTAGGTGAAAAAACAATTAGAGATAATATATCCGGTGACCGATTAATAAAAATGGAGAATCAAAAGAATTCTTTATTATTTTTTGAATATAGGTTAAGGTAGTTATTAGTATTATAGCTCATGTTATTTTAAGTATTAGTTTTCAGTGAGAAAAAGAAAAACATACGATTTAGTTTATATACTCACATTTATATTAAAGACTAATCTCTGTTATTATATCTTAGTTAACGATTTATGAGGTGAATGATGCACGTATGACCATTAATGATATGACTAAAATTATTGGTTAACATAATTGATCCTTATAATGTATTATTAACTTGTTTCATCTGTGTCTTTGATTACCTTTGATCCCAATACGAAATGAAACATAAGTTTTTAATTTATATATATTAATACAAAATAAGTATTGCATTTATACTCTTCCTTAACTATATCAAGAAACAGATTGTTAATTACACAAGTGCAAATGTCTCCTTTTATGAGGGACTATGATGAATCTTGCTTGAATGTGTTTTCCCACACCTTCTTTATCTAAGAACACCCTAGTTTCTTCAAACACCAAGTTCAGCCCATGTTCCCACAGTAACACACATATGTCTTACAATAATGTGAGCATCTTAAGAAAGTATCTTGTTTTCTTGCCAAACAATTAATGACAACATTAATTTAGTTTTGTTTATACTACACAAATCTTAAAAAGATACATGTGTAGAGCAGTATAAACATAAGCAAGTAGTAGGCATTTAGGCTCAAGCTATTACTTCCAACCTTGAAATTTTAATGGGCTAACTATTGTAATATGTTGAAATTAACTTTGTCAGTCTTTGACAATAAATATAGACTTATTAAATATTAATTTGAAGAATCTAGACTAAGATAATGAATATTTATAGCTATTGTTAGGAGATTTCAGTTTTTTTGTAAACAGTCGTTATTAGTTAGTCACCTTTTGATGTGCATAAGGGACTTAATGTTAACTATTATTGGGAAGGGATCAAAATCTTCTGTCTCCAACTCCTGTCTCCAAACCCTGTCCCTCCAATCACAAAACGCCATCACATCATTATTTTTAATTTTGATTTTGATTTTTAAAAAGTGTAACTGTTACGGTTTTTTTTCTTCTTCTTTAATTCCCGCATTGTTTTCGTCTTATCCCCTCCTCTTTTATGGTCAACAATTTTTGATGCAGCCACTGAAAAGTAATCATGGCGCAGCGAGTTAACATGTAAAATCTAGTATTCCCTTGTAGCGGTGGAAACCTTACCAAATGTGTGAAGGAGGCGAGGCGAGTAAAAAACAATCAACAAGTGTGAAAAACCGTAACAGTTACACTGTTTAAAAATCAAAATCAAAATTAAAAATAATGATGTGATGGCGTTTTGTGATTGGTGGGACAGGGTTTGGGGACAGGAGTTGGAGACAGAAGATTTTGATCCTATTGGGAAGTATGTATGTAATTAATGATTTTGATGAAGAGAAAAAACTAGAAAGAAGATAATGGAAGTAAGAAAAACATATAACGGAAATTGAGATTATTTTATAAGAAGAAAAATAAGATAAGTGAAGTAAAAAAAAATAAATAAATAAGATAAGTGAAGTAAAAAATATAATTATTTCATAAGAGAGAAATAGACGAGCAATGAAGAGAAGATAATTTTTTGATTGATTAAATAAATAAAAAAACTCAAATTGATATTAGCAATTAAATTAAATAATTGTCCTTTATATATTATGCATCTAACTTTAATAGGAGGGTAAAAAAAACCTAACTTAATTCTCCTATAACCTTCTCATAATTGGTGGTATAAAAAAAATGTGGTTCCTGCCATCTTCTTCTAGCTTCCACACAAATCAATTATACCAAACACACAAAAAAATCAACTTCCACCTTCTCTTCCTTTCCTTCTAACTTCCATTACAACAAGCACACTATTTTAATGATAAAAATGATCATGAGAGTAGAAATAATAAATAAACTTGTATATATGAATAATACTTAAATTTATTTTAACTTTAACAAGAAATACTTAATTTGATAGAAAATGTTATCGATAATATTCGATTTATTAAATTAGGTATAAATACAGGGATAAGAATGACTATATGTAATCTTGTACGTGTTCTTATCCCAATTTTAAATTTCTAAAACACTTTTAGATTTTTAGGTTTTTAATTATGTGTTGTTGTTTATTATTTTTAAAATTTATCTGAAATTTATATAATTTTTACTATTTTAAATTTATGTTAAATAAAATTTAATTGATGAAATTTTATAATTTCTATTCTATATTAAAATTTGTGTTTTATATATTTTCTGTGAATAAAAGTTATTTAATTAATTTTTGGATGAATATGAAATAAGAATAAATATATCCAATATTAAACAGAATAAAAAATGAGACACAAATTTTTATACCTATCAAATATTGGAGACGATAATAGATATATAATACATACTTAAAAAAGAGCCTTCAACCATCAAATACTATGATATATTAATAAGGTAGTGTGGGGACTAAAATTACATTTTTATTTTCTTCATAGAAAGACCTATTTTTAAAATTGTATCATTGGTCGGGATGAAATGATTAATTTAACCATTAATTTTAGCCCCAACATTAACATATTAGCCACACTTTGGGGCATTAATTAACAAATAAGTCAAACACCAATTTTCAACATAGATGCAAGTGTGGAACTAAAAGTTTCATGAATATTTTTCGTTCAGAATATAATATTTAAAGTAATGGTAACCGAAGACATTAAATGATTAATTTAACGTTTAACATACATGTATAAAAAAATGAAAATAATTCGTATATAATCTTATATAGAATATTTTTTATTTCAAAGCATAAATGGTTCCCTTTAGATGTAAGTGTCAACCCATACATAATTAGAATCTAAGGCACCATTGGATTTCATTATTTTAACCTATTTGTGAAGATTTATATGAATCCATAGACTACACAATTCCAAAGATACAAAAATATGGACATTTTTACGTCAAAGTTAGGGTACTAGATGGGGATGAAAACGAAGGTCTTACCTTATTAGAGTCCCCCACAAGGGTTGGTTTCTCCTTTGGATGCCTTGAGTTGAGTCCTACATGTTCCCATTCCCCACTAAAGCATGTGGGCATCACATGCCATGAAATGGGGAACTAATCCTTTGTCCAATGACCCAACTTGTTTCATCACAAATGGCTCAGACTTTGCAGATCAGCATTGGAGTTCATCCCTTAACAGAATCACCGTATCATTTTGTTGACCCCAATGAGATAAACAACCATCAAATGAAGGACCCAAGTCCTATAAACTTTTGCTTATCTACAATAACTTATCTCATCAAATGAAAGACCCAAGTCCTATTAACTTTTGCTTATCTACAATAACTTGTACCACCGGACACATAAATAATTAATAAACCCATATTCCTATTTCCTAGCCCACAGAAACAACTAGAAACATGCCAATAGCGGTGTATGAAACAACGAGCTGGGAAGGTCCAAAAGGGGTAAGTGAACATGAAATTGTGCACCCAAGGTGTTTGATTTATTTCCAAAGAGAGGCAAATGAACCAAAAAATTGTAAAATGGCAATGGGCGAACTTCCACGGAAGTACAGAAGCCACCTTACATATGGCAAAGAATCAAGAGGCTTTACACCTTTTCTTTTAATACTAACAATAATAGAGTTCATCACTAATAATCAAAATAGTGCGTATAAATGAAGAATAGTTTTTATTATAAAAATTAATTATGTAAGTTAAACTTGGATCATAGTCTGCATTCTGAATATAATATTAAAATTTGTTCTAGTAATTATTATTAAGTTTTTCGTGTCATTCGTCATCAAATTCTACTAAACCGTTTCAAAAATCTAATTTTATAAATTTCGTGTTTGAGATACATGAAAGAGATGTGTTAGGGACCAATTATCACTCCTTGAACATTATACAAATATATTAAACATTGGAATGAAATTTTTTTATCTCATATAATTTGAATACAATTATCTAAACATGTAGTGTGGAACTAAAAGAAAAATAATAATATAGAATCCAAAGGAAAAGAATTCACGTGTAAGGAGGGTCTGTGAGGAAGCGTGCAGCATGTGCTTGGGTACAGTCGGCGACCTTTTGTTTGATGAGATAAGGAAACTCAATAAAAAGAGTGATTTTCCTTCCACCTATAGCCTCATCTCACGGATCTTGCTCCATTTTCTCTCTCTCTTTGTGTGCCTCTTCCAATTTCTTATATTATAATATTCTCCCAAATACACATCCTCTTCATAGTAGTATATAAGACCAAGGGATTAGAACTACCCAATAGTCCAATTCTCATTCACTTGTCACCAAACTCAAAGCCTCATCAAATACTCATTCAGTTATGGCCTCATGGAAGAAAACCATCGCCACCCCATTCAAAAAAGCTTGCACTTTCTTTAACCAGCAACCTCCAAGGGACCATAAGAAGTCTCAAACAGGTGTGTATTTGACACAAAAACATAACCCTTTCTGATTTCTCCAACATCACTATCTTAGCTTAGGCAATAATGGGTCATCACTCATCAATTATGTGTTGTTGTCATGTATTGATAATTGTTTTGTTTGATTCAGCAGAACAAGAGAATCGGATTATGGATCTGCACGGTGAAGTCATGGCATGTGGCTATGAAGATGTTCAAGTTATGTGGTCAATCCTTGATAAGTCAAAATCTTCAGCCTGCAATATAACTTCTTCATGACATGAGCCTACTATTTTCCCTCTTCTTTCATCTACCAAGAAAAAAAAAAAAAAAAAAAAAAAAAAAAAAAAAAACATATATATTCACACGAAAAAGGGTTCTACTTAAGTAATTGGCGTATGTTTTTGTACGCTAATGTTTTAAGTCGTGATTGCATCATACTAGCTTGTTTTGGCTAAGTGAGTAGCTTTTGAATCTGGTATGCATGTAATTCTCATTGTAGAAAATTGAAAAGAGATTGATGTGTAGGTGTTTGATAGGTTTGAATCAGTGCCCCTTCTTGTTTGATGATGGTGGTGGCAATTTCACTCTGTAATTCTTGCAAGTCAAGGTGTTGTTAACAGGGAATCCCCATGATTGATGAGAGAAAATCATGGAGAGATTTTTTTATGAAATGTACATTGCTTTCTCTATTCTCTCTGTTTTTCACCTTCTCTGTTTTTTAACCTTTTTGGACAGGATTGTTTTAACAAAAAGGTGCTTTCTTTTAATAATGCTCCAAATTAAATGGTACTTTTAAAAAATAATTTAGATTTAAAAATGATTTGGTAAGAAACATGGTACAGTGGTACACAATACAGGTTGAAGAAAAATTTGAAAGAACAGTGAAAAGAATAATTAATTATCTCTTTGCTTCAAAGCAAAACAAAACTCATATTTGGTTAGTTTCAAATATGTTACCTTCATATATAAAGTAAATCTCAACTATATTTACTTAATTTAATATTATTATTTCTAAAATATATTTTCATTTAATTGAAATTTATTTTTATAATTTTTTTTCTCAATATCAAATTCCAAATAAAGGTAACTTAAGAAATTATGCTAGTTTTAAATGAAAATATTGCAACTAAATAGTATCAATTAACTTTTTTAGTTAACATGAATTACTTATTTTATTGCTTATATAAAAAAAAGTACCGATTAGCACTTAATTTTTAATTGATTATATCATTAACAGTTCTCGCAAGTTAGAATTACGAATTAGTAGATGAATAATACAATAAATTCAAACACAACTCACAAAAAATTTTAATGGAATTGAATAGTGAGTTAATTTTCGAATACCTATTTGAGTCAAAACCACTTCAAATTAAGCTTTATAGAAATTCAAATAACAAAATCAATTTGTCATATGGAATTTATTACCAAAAAGAAGTCAATCTCATAATTATTATTTGAGGGAAAGTTTTAGATATAATTTTTTGGGGTTAGGATTTGTTATTTTTTAATTAAAATTGAAGGTTTATATTGATAATATGTATTTATATTTATAACAAATTTTATTATAATATATATATATATATATAGGTAAGATTTTAAAGGTATATTTGATAAACATTAAGATAAAGGATAAGGAGAGTAACACAAAACAAATGTTCAAGTCAATGAATGATTTTTTGTTTTGTATATTATTTGGTGAATATATACTACACAAATAAAATAATATTAATTTTATTACAATATTATTTAATATTAATTATCATAATGAATTATTATTATTATTATTTTAATAAGACTATAATAATAATAATAATAATAATAATAATAATAATAATAATGATAATAATAATAATAGTAGTAAATATATGATGGTGAGTGAATAATAGCAACAATAGAACATTGTAATAGTAGTTGTGAGTTAAGACAATGATAATAGGTGGCAACAGTGATGATGTTAAGACATGATGGGTAAAGATAGAGGTAGTATTGATACCACATTACAATGAGTATTTTGTGTTTGAGATAAAAAATAAAAAAAAATTGTCACATGATTTTCTTGAGTAACAAAAAGTAATATTTTTGTCTTCTTTGAAAACAATTTTTGTAAAAACAGTATAATTATTTTTGTTATATTCAATAATCAATACCATGAATTTTAGTAAATCAAATGCATTATAAATAACACCATTTACGTCTTAAAAAAAATTATACCTTAATTTTGTCGTTTTTGGAAGTCATCGGTGTCATCAACTAAGAGAATCTCAACGTTTTCAAGTAAAACCTTTCAAATACATTTAACCACATGGAAAAAGAAAAACATCATTAAAAACATGAGAAGACTTAATCACGATAAAATCAACATCAATCTTAAATAACCAAAAACAATGTTTAACCACTACTCGATGCGTTATATTTTGTTTAACATTATTAAAGATTTTGATACAGAATTTAAGAAATATAATTAATATTTCTAATTTAATAAAATATATTATATAATTTTTCACCTTTTGAAATCATATAAATAATTAAATAATATGTTAATAATAATTAAAAAATATAATATAAAAAACATACTTAATGTTACATTAATATTGTAAAATGACAATCAAATTAAAATAAATAAGAAATGGTTAACGTCAGACAAAATAGAATAAAAGGGGTAAAAGAGAGTCAAACAATAAACACTTTACATACCAAGAGAGAGAGAGAAAAGCAAACTATAAATTAACTATAAATCTATAGAGAAATAAAAGAAGGGTTGAAATGTGTTTCTTAATAACCTTTTGTATATCTAAAAATAAAATAAAAAACATTAAACTACTCATGAAACTAGTTCAAAATACTTGTACCTTTCCAAAAACAATGTCACCTTATATATGAAGTGTAGTTTTATGAAAAGTTGTTTAAAAACAAAATCATTTCATCGTACCCTTAATTTTATAAATAAGGAAATAGAGAAAATATGAACACAAGTATCTATATTATTTGTATTACAATCTAAGATTACATCCAATCATTAGAAGCAAAAAAAAATATTTTCACTAACATAATTTTATAAAAACTATATTTTTTTATCACTACAAATATTTTTTTCTTCCTTATCTCTTAAGACAAACAACCCACAAATATTTTTACAATTCTTACTAGTTGCTAATTTAAGTATTCTTTCAATAAATGTCTCTCAATTCATCGAACTTTTTCAAATTTGAATAAAAATAATAATCTTAAACTCTTATTTACTTGATCTAACATATAATAATATTCAACCAAAAGAATATAGCACAACACAAAAATAATAAATATAAATAGTGAAAATACATTTCACAACATATCTTTATTATGAAAAGAAAAAAAAATGATCTAAAAATACTGATAAAGTATTTATAAGTTTTACAAAGAATATTCTCATAAAAATATAACAAATAAGATTTAAAAATGATAAGTTAACGATGTAAAATAGCTTTTCACTTTCATCTAATCCCAATTTACATAAATGATAAATTTATTGACTTTTATAATAATTACCTTAAAATTATATAAATTATAATTAATTGGTGGTATAAAACTTTTTACATTAATAATATATCGTCATTATATACTTTATGACTACTTTGTTTATGTAGCAAATGATATTAAAAAATTTGTAATCTTTATAATTTGTTGACTCTTGATGTTTTTATAGATGACTAGAAAAAATAGGTTTTTTACTACATTGGAAGATAGTTGTTAAAATTTTAAGTTTCTTCCTGTGGTTAATTTTGATGTTGTGATGCATTAATTGTTTGCATAAATGCTCTCCTTTAAGTTTTTATGAAAAATATTCAATTATCAGAAATAAAGTTTTTAAGAAGGTGGTTAAGAATTGAAATTTTTGAATGGTTAGAAGTAGTAAATTGAATGATTACACTGGCCGGTAACTAATAATTATTAATATTACTTTTAATTATTTAAAGATATAAAAGCAAAATCGTCTTTAAAATATGAAAACAAAAAAGGGTCGTAAACTCACATATTCCCTAGGTATAAATATTGTGATAAAAAAATAACTTATCTTTCCTTTCAATACTTTGTCTATGTAACAGTTAGTCGGTGCAAAGATTAATCAGAATCAATAATTAGTGTTGACCAATGACCAAATCATATGATTTTTACCTTTTGTGATTTTCACTTTATCACCCGTGTATGATTCTTGAGAGAAAGATAGGATTCTATGGGATCCACCTTGTATGACTAAACTACTCTACTTTTTTCTCTTTGATGGTTTCTGATCTCCGAGTAAGCCTTTCAAATTTGAACGAACCTTGGTCAAATATGGCACAAACAAAACAAATATAATCGACGCGTTTGAGTTGTTGTGTTTGTTGGCATTCTAAATGTGCCTGTGGTTTGATTTATATGCATGAACTTAGAGATTTGCACTAAATAAATGAATCAGTTTTAGTTGAAATAGCTCCTTTCATATTAGATTGCAGTGTCGGTCACATTTCATTGATTTAGCCAAATGATAAATACAAGCTTCTATATATAAATATTTATAACATTATATATATAAGCACAAATAATCATTTATGTGTGTCAATAAATAAGGAATCCATGTTTGATTACTAGCAATTCTACAAGGAAGGATTCCACAGTTTGATTCTACCTCACTCGAACACCATTATTATTAATTAAAAAAAAAACTATTGTATATACCAAATTATAAAGAGGATGTCAAAAGCATCTCTAACTCCCATGAATCATACCAAGAACTTTTACTTGTTGAGGGGTGCAAAACTCCCATCGATATAATAATAAGATGGTGCCTTTCAACCAATCTCAAAAATGCCTCTAGAGTCAAATTCATTAGATAGTTAATCATTAAAATAACATAATGCACGTCCCAAAATTTATCTTCCAATGCCAATGTGTGTTTATGTGTGACCTTAGCCAAGATGGAAACTAATTAGGAAGATACTGCATACTCATTGCCTAAGAAATCACCCTTATATTTTGGAGGCTAATTAGGTATTGTCTCGAATTTGGTTTATATCTAGATTTTATAAACTCGGACATTCAAACATATGAATACTTGTTTATGGGGGCATGTTTGGATATAACTCTACAAAAGTTTGTGAGAACTTTTTTGCTGAATTTTTTTTTAGTAAATTTTTTTTAAAAGTATTTCTAACTTATATTCAAATAGATTTTATGTAATAGATAATAACAAATTCCAATTATCTTCGACCAATTTCGGTTCTTAGCATTTAACTTTTCGTTCTGTGTCAACTACTTATAAGCCCAAGCAATAGAATATATGTTATTTTGTATTTGGGCTTTACAAAGCCCAAAAATCTGCATAAGAGCCCAAATAAGGAATAATGTAATGATTGATTTTCTCTATTCTTTTGGAGCAAGAGAGTGTGCATATCACTCCAAAGTCCAATTGCAGCTGCTCTCTTGCCAAGCATCTCAATATGTGCATGATAGAAACTTCATTGTACAAAGGACCATCAATTCATTAGTGTATTTAATATATATATATATATATAAGATTACCAATTCTTCAAAAGTCAAAACAAAGGGATAGGTCCCGTGACACATTTAAATTCAAAACAATTTTTGTAAAATATAGGCTACTTTGCAAACGTTTTGTGAGTATGAGACATTTTAGGGTCCCAACCTAAAAAATAGGTATGCCTCTTAGGTG